GTGTGTGTGTGTCTGATTTCTAATATAAACGCAAATATGCAAACATTGTGCTGTGAACATTTCACCACGTCTTTTCACGGCTTGGCACTAACGGAAAAAAAATAAGAGGACTTGGAAATACAGCTGCAAAGATCTCGGTGGGTTGGCAGAAAGTATTCGATAAGGGAATCTTTTAAAATATTTAAAACACTTAAATAACTTTTACTGTTATAAATAGTAAAAATTAACGCACAACTTATTTTTTGAGCCATCATTTCTTAGATAATTCCATAGAGCTTGTGGAATTGTTGATTTAATATCGAATTTCCGAATTATTAACTAAAGTAGTTGGTAAATAATTTCTAGAACTTAAATGACGAGCAACTTTTATTAGCAAGGGATTCTTAAATAAAGTACGCAACGTGTCCAAATGGTTTTGTAGCCAAATATTGCACAATCTCATGCGCACACACACACACACACACACACACACAAACACACAAAATTGCTTAATTTCATGCACATCCCAGTTGTTGCAAGTCCTCTAACAACCTCCTGTCGTCCCGCTGCCGTTCAACTCATATGCCTCGCTGCATGTGCGTTGCCTGCAAGCGCAAACAAATAAAAGCAAAATGCGCCAAAGCCGCAGTAAGTGTGTGAGTGTGAGTGCGAGTGTAAGTGTGTGTGTGTGCGTGAGTGAGTTTGGGTTGCAAGTCTTGTACACGCCCACACAATCAAGCGCCCATTTATGCACTAATTAAAATTTTATCGTTAAATCTTGTTTGCATGCATTGCAACATGCGGCGTGTTGAACCAAGCGACGCCAGATCTCGAGTGGTCCAGCAGCCAGGAGGAGCACATAACTATGTATCTCCCCCTCCCTATCCGTTGCCCCTTAGCCCTCTCATAGAATCTCAGTTGCCCCCATAACTAACCCCACCTCACCCGCGCCTTGCCACTACATTGACTCCCTGCTGAAACGTATGCAATGCGCACATTTTTCGTCGAAAATGTTTGGCAACAGTTATTTGCACTTCCGGCGCTTGCCACGCCCAAATATCCAATGCTATTGCCTCCCGCTGCGCCTGCACAGCTACACACACACACACACACACACGCACACGCAGACGCACCCTTGGCTGGTAGCATTTGCATGTATTTAACGCTTGCCACCAAGCATTTTCATATTTTATTTGCTTTTCGCCAGTCAAATACGCGCACAATTCGCTTCCGATAAGTGCTATTGCATATCTTTCAAGTGCATTATGGCTGCTGCCGGCTGCTGTGTGTGTGTGTGTGTGGCAGATGGAGGGGGAGGGAGACGGGGACGTCGGCGTTGGTGCTCAGAGAGGTTGCATGTTGCTCAGTTACTGCTTACACGCTGTTATTATAGTCGACCCATGGCCAACAATTAAATATGAATTGCATTTGGCGCACTGGCTGGCAATGTGATAAAAATTACAGAGTTTTGTCATTTTTTAGCAGAGATCTGTTTCCCACAACATTAATTTGCACACTCATACACACACGCAGCTGACATTAGAACACTCAAAAATTGAGTTTTATAAAAATAAAAAGCCCATTTAAATATAAACTCTGTGCATACATGCGCCAAACTAACTGACCGAAAAAGAGCTGAAGCTAACTTTTCGCGCTGTCAACTTTTTTAATTTAATATCAAATACGCAGCGTATACGTAATTTTTGCGGCTTTAAGCGGTAGTTGTGTGTGTGTTTGTGTGTACTTGTGTGTGTTTTGAATGTGGTCAGAAATTTAATTAAAATGTTTCATGAGCGAAATTTCAAATTCAAATTTCAAATTGCATGCAAAATGAATAATTGAATGCAACACGACTAGTTGAAACCAGTTTGAATGCTTTTTTTTCTTAATTTTTGTCAGCTTCTGTTAACAAAATTCAAATGTTTGTTGTTTTGTTGTCGGTCAATTTGAACTGACAGTCAAAATAATCAAATTACAACAAATGTATATTTAACAAAATTTTGAATTTAAGTTTATATATGCAAGTGCATTATTTATTTAAACAAATAATTGAATCGAATATTTAAAAAGCTATGGAGTGATTTTTCATTTTAACAGCGGAAATACTTAATATTTAAAATAAAACATGAATGTCATTGCTGTTACATTTGTGTGTTATTTGAAGATTTTTATATAGATTTCAATTACAATTTAATTCTATGTCAATTTGAGTTGAAAATAATTATTATGTAAATAATGTACGCTGTAAAAGCTTATGATATGTTAAATACCTGTAAAGACGCCAACGCTGTTAACACTGTTAACATGTCTGCAATTACAAAACAAATATTTTATTGGTTTGCGGTTTCATTGTGCATTGCCTCGCCTTTAGTGGCCAGCATGTATGTAAATTGTTTGAAAACCTATTTTAAAAAAAATATTGCGGTTAGCGTGAAGGCCAATTAAAGAGCCAAGTTTTGAGACTGAAAGATACAACTAAACCTTAACATTGCCAGCGTCACTTTAACATTTTTAAAAATGTAATTGTCTCAATATTGTATTTATTGAAAAATTTATCCGCTTATTATTTGTAATGGTTTTTAATTATTTTGTCTGTCTGCCTGTCACACAACCACACACAAAACAACCGCGAACAATTTTCAAATTGAATTTGAATTGAAAACAATTTTAAACAGGTAAAAATATGTTAATAGCTTTTGTCAGGATTTAATTTTATTATGCATGCACATCTTTATCCTTTAAATTCTAAAAATTTTTATTTAAAATCTTTTTTTTACAACTGTTTGTATGGCAAGTGCCAAAGTCTCAGTTTGGCAACGCCTGGGGTCATCATCTCTCGCCGCTTTATCAGCTTAAGAGCTAAGCAGTGCCACGCCCATTTTGAAGCAACATCACTTGGGCGCCCTAAAAAAACTTATTTATTACCTTTGTTTAGACTTTATATAACACTCGAGCTGATGGCACTTGAGCAAATGGCATTAGCATTGTCTTCTCTCTCCGTGCTTGGGTGGTTGTCATTATTGTTGTTGTCGTTCTTGTTGTTGTTCTTGTTGCTGCTGCCGTCTTGTAAGCTTGAGATACTTCCTTATCATGGCCACAGGCCCCGAAGTAGATGAAATGTTTTCCTTGGTTTGCCACTTGGCGGGCCGCTCCGCTTGATTTGTGCGCCTCAAGTGTGCGGCGGGGAGTTTGTCTTGCGTCTTGTTTATGCGCCTCGGAGCATGCTGTGAAAATTACATATCTCTTGCATGTAGTTATTTGCTTGTTTTTGCTGTTGTACTTGTGGTTGTCTAAGAAAACACTGATGATGCTTTGGTGTGAACAGAGCAGCTTGTTAGATAGCTGACAAAGAGTCAATAGTATTAGCCTTATCTAATAGCAATTGTCGTTCGGATTAGGGTTGTTGATTTTAAAGAGATTCAATGATTGGTTAATGCTTGATAATTAATACTCTCTCCTATAGTAAGGGCACGGCTATTGATAACTTGTTAGATAGTAAGAAAAATCGATAGTTTTTGTGCTTAAAACTCCAGATGAATACACTCAGCTATTGAGAGTATTTTAATTTTATACACATAGCAACCAACCAATACTCTTTTGTATTGAAGCTTATTTATTTAAAAATACGTTTGTGTATTAAACCAATTATCGTTCTAAATTATTGCTATTATCGATAGCTATCGATAATAAAATGTGCGAAATACCTGCGAACTTTTTAACCTCCGATCTGGTGCATCATTTGCGAGGCGACAAGCCCAAATTTGAGTGGGTAAGTAAGCAGCAGTACAGAATCAAAAATCAAAAACGGGGTCTCTCAACTCTTATTACTTGCGCAGAAACCGCAGCTACAACTGAAGAAAACCTGGACGCGTCCACGTTTCATGTTCGTGTTCGAGAATGGGGATCTCAATACGGCAGCGCACTGCCTGGCGGAGCGTATGCACGAACCCTTCGAGCCCTTTCCCATAGCCAGTGTGGCCGTGCACCAGTCGGTGCGCGATGATTTTATTGAGAGCGTACGGAATCGCTTCCATCAGGTGAAGCCACACGTGGCCACGCATCCGAACTTTGAGCGTACCCTAAAGGAACTGGAGTATGGCGGCGTGAAATATGTGGCTGCGCCCGAGGAAAATGCGCCGCTCATTGCCAGTCCGATTATTGTCACGGACAATGTGACGCATCTGTTCTTTAGCAGCTGTCCCACAGGTGTTGTCACATTGAAGAGTTTCGATACCATACGAAGAGCAGCCGATATCTTTGTCCACGAACAGCCCCAGTTTGATGCAGTGCACGTATTCGATGAGAGCATCACGAGCGTTTATGCACTCGCGTCGCGTGTCAGTTGCGTTCAGTTCTATGTGAACTGTATCGAAGTCTGCATGATGCCCATTCTGCCATTCTATGGCATGAGGCAGGCGCGCGCTCTGCTGCAGAATGGCTATCACTATGAGACCCTGGAACTGGGTGATATTTGGCGTATAATCGTCTTTCCCTATACGACCACCTTTGTGAGACACTGCTGCTGTCCGCAGGGTCAATGCACTTGCAACATCACTCACGGCATTTGCTGTGAATGAATGGTATCGAGCTGTTGTTGGGTTTTTGGAACATTTGCGCACATCTTTCAACCCAGCCGGCAGTCAGAAAACCTAAACTAAAATAAAAATCCGACTGTGAACTTAAGAAATTTCCAGTTTCTAGCTGGCAATTTTACTGACAACACATGTGCCACATAATTTTCGCGGTTGTTGGCTTCCAATTGGCATTACAGTAGAGACTCTATACGTTGAACTAGTATTGTTAATTTAAGAATTTTGGTTGTAGGTTACATCAAGTGATCAATAAATTTTAAGTATATTATGTCGGTTCATTCTTATGGAATGGGCTTTTGGAAAATATAGCGGCTGTCAAGTTAACATTGGACAATATAATTTAACTAACATGCACATGAAAATAAAACATAATTGAAATGCGAATTTATTAAAAATATTTATATACAAGAAAATATGGCAAAATCGCGCTTTACATAGAATTTTTCTTTATCATTGAACTGTTGATAATTTGAAAAGCTTAACTTTTTTTGATTACATTTTATTAAGTTTATTTGATAGTAAATGTCTTTTGCATTAGAAAGCTTAGTTCTTTGTTTTGATTATATTAAATGCTCGTTATTTGGCTTTCACTGATGGCCAGTGGCTGCGCTTTCCGCTTTGACAGTTGTCCTGGCTTTGACTATATATAATAGTGATAGTTTGGCCTTCATTGATGGACATCACTGTACTTGGCCTCTACGACTGTAATTTGTCTGTATTTATCAGCCCGTGTCTGCGCCTTCCGTCTTGACAGTCTCAGCTGCCTGGTACACATACATATGTCGCAGACTGTTTGGCTTTTAATAAAACTCTACACAGGGCTCGCTGCTGCGGAGTGCGAGCATTCGCTGCAGCAGTTGGTTAGCTCTTCCTACCAAAAGGCAACGATTAAACTGGCAGCCAGCCATTAGTTGCGGCTGCTGTTGCTGTTGCTGATGCTGATGCGGCAGCTTGTCGCCAGTCATCGACAGCTTGGGCCACCGTCGAGTTTTTGGCATTTTGTGAGCCAACTTGTTAATGAGTTTGCCTTCAAGAACGGAAGAGAGCCCAATCTTCGAGATGCTACTATATGTCAGGCCTAAGGGCAACTGCAATCTTCAAACCTTCAACAGTTTTTGGCAATGAAAAGCAAATGTTGTTGCACTGTTTGACAACTAGCTGTCTGTCTGAAATTCTGTCTGGATGTCTGTCTGGATGTCTGTCAATTTGTCGTATGACTGTCTGCCCATTCGCATTTGTCAGTTTTGTCTGCATTTGTGATTTGAGTTTGACAGATTTTGGCTGTGCTTCAGCAGCGTCTGCTGCCATTTTATAGTTTTCCCGGTTATAAATGCAAAAAAAAAAAAAAACAGAAAGCAAAAAGCAAAAAGTAAAAACCAAGTTTGCAAGTGTTTCGAAAAACGCTTTCACCAGCTAAAAGATTAAAGTGGAAAAACAGATTATGCTTAAGTAAAAAAAACGTTCACTTTAGATACTTACATTTATATACGATTTAGTCATCCAGCTTAGTATGAAAAGTTGAATCGTATCAGATATTTACACAGCTTAATAACTAGCATAGGATTTAACCTTAATAAAGTAAGTGATTTGATTGAGAAAACAATTGAATGGGATCTGATATTAATATACTTTAAGTTTTAAGTCAGTTAAACCACAAATTTCCATTGGGACTATAATATATTAATTTCATGTGGCCGGAATATCAGATGAGGTTTCTTATATTATTCTCTGATATTAATTATAATACTCTGATATTTTATTATACATATTTGAAATAAATCTCATTTCAGCTGTTGTTTGATTATTAAAGCATAGCACTTCAGCTGAATGGGAATACTGAATTCCAGTATTGTTTTAAAGGTTAATAGCAGGACTACAGTATACCAAACAATAATAGGTTAAAATGTTTTTAAGAAATTGTTCACTAAAGAGTCTAATAATATCTCATCCAAATTGTATATCCGATCTTAGATCGGATCATATCTCGTATAAAGTAGAATCATTACTATACAAATCTATTAATATTCTATCTCTTTGTTTCTGATCTTATATCTTAACATATCTCATTGTATTACTTGGTAATAAATAATTAAAGTATTTTTCTTTTAATACAAGACTCTCCTAATCTAGACAAATTCTGGACGAATTCGTAGCGAAAACGTTTGTCAAAACGCTTGCAATTAAATATTTTATGAGTGGACTGTGAAAAAGCTTAACGCAGCTGTTTATTTGTTTGCCTGGCCGTCTGGCATTTGGCTATAAATTGTTATTTATGTCTGGCGTTGGCGGCGCTGCCACGCCCACTTGCCAAACACGATGACCGCCTGCGGCCGTAATTCTATTAAGCTGTCGAACTTGAAAATTTTCGACCATGTCGCGGCTCAGTCAAAGCCACAGATTTCCGTTCGATTTGTTGTTTTCATTTCTATTTTCACGTTTTATTTTGTTTATTTTTTGGCTGAATGCTTTGAAAATGTTACGTCCGTGACTTGCAGTACTGAAACGCCGTGGCCAGAACTGGAGCAAATGGTGGCCTATGCCGCAGTTTTTGGTAGCCATATTGCGGCGGCAACTGCCAGACACCGCGCGGCCTCTCTGGGCCAACAAATGCAACAGCAACACAACATGAACAACCGCAACGGACACTTGTCAACGGCTGACGTTCTTGTTGTAAGCAGTTGATGTATGTGATGCTTGTTGTTGTTGTTGTTATTGATGCTGTGGTTGTTTAAATGCAGTGTTAGCTGTTGGCTCTTTCGAAATTGAAGTGTGCCTGTCCTAACTTAAGCTAACTTAAAGTAAAGGCTTTGAGTACCAAGAAGAAAAATAAACTTAACCGTTAAATGCAGACTTAGTTTTGAGTTATGTTCATAAAAGCGTGCTCGTAAAAGGGTTTGAGTACACGCTTGGTTTTGCAAAACCAAAAAAACATTTTTTAACAATTGTTTATTCTGGCAAAAATAAAACTATAATATAAAAGCCAGCTATTTGACTTAACAAAACGTTTGACTGATCAGAGTATAGAAATCGTACTGTTGCAAAAAGCCAAAATATCTAATTGGACTCGTCTCGGTGCTATATGAAACCCAAATCGCAACTGACAACATTTGGCCCAGGAAAACATGCAACATTCACAACAAATGGAAAAAGAGCAACAAAGAGCAACAGTAACAACATCTGGCAATCAATTCAAAGCCACTGTTCAAATACAAGAACAATACGAGGCAAATACACAAGCGACCGCAACAATTTGAAAAACATTACCCATACGCCATGTGCAACACACAAAACATTGCAGCAAGACACCGGAAAAACCAAAAACCGAGAAGGGGAGAGAGTGAGTGCAGATGTGCGAGTGAAGAATCGGAAACAGAGGCGCTTGCGGTACAGTAAAGCCCCCTGTGGAAGCGCAGTGTATTTTCAACACCTGCTGGTCAAACAAATCGTGTTCATTTTGGTACAAACACTAATTTCGACAAGGTGCAAACAAGCTGACGTTTCCCGAGTCTGGGGATGTGAGCTGCGAATGGGTAACAGGAAAACACACACACACTCACACACACAAAATAGACACAACACACTTACACACACACATTCACACAATGGCATGTCACGTGCTGCTGCTCTGGTTTGGTCTGGTCGGAGTTGTGTCTGTGTCTGCGTTCGGGCCTGTCGTCGACAGATAAAATGCTTTTTTGAAAAATGTAAAATTGCATTTGTAACCGCATTTCATTAGAGAAAGAAAGTCAAGCGTAAGGTAGCAGCATAACCAGCAACAACATCGGCAGACAGCGGCACGTAGCCCAAAAATGCCATTGGGCTAACACAAACAACAACTTGCAGCCGGTAGCCGGCAGCCGGCAGCCGGCAACGTGCAACATTCAACCTGCAACAGGGTTCGCATTCGCGACAGTAAGCCTTGCGTCACGGTCAGCGGCCAAGCAACAGCATTGCTCGTGGCAGGATGGGATGATGTGGTGGGCGGGGCAGGGGTCGAAGGTTACAGTTGCCATTTTTGTTGCTGTCAGAACATAAATATGGCCGTCTGCTGTGCGAATGAGCGCGAATGTGTGTCTGGCTGCTCGTTTAGGCCTTAAATATCCACCCGAAATGTTGATGCGGGTATTTGAGCCTTGTGTATGTGTGTGTGTGTGTGTGTACTATGTGTACGAGCGTGTGTCAACGTATGATTTGATAATCATTCTAAATCATGCGATAGAATGCAGCTTACAGCAGATTCATAAACAGTTGGGCGAGATTTGTGATTTCCTGTTGCGTGTCCATTGGAGATGGCAAAGTCAACAATTTGCTTCAAAAAAAAATTACAAACAAAAAATTTACATGTGAAGTTAGCCGGGTTGTGATCAATATTGGTCAAATCGTTCTACATCAACTAGATTACGTTTTCTGTAAAGCTCTTTGAAGCACCTCCCGTTCTATGGTCAGCTTATTTTGCCTAGAGCTCCAGATTTGGAAGGAAGCTATAACCACCTCAGAATTATTAGCAATGAAAAGATGAAAAGGTTTTAAACTAAAATTTTAAGTTGATTGGTTTGAGGCTAAATATTAGTAAATATCAGTAACACGGTCTAAACATTTTGAGAATTGGTTTGGGGTTTGTTGTTCTTTTAAAAAAGTATTTTTGTAATTACCTTGAGGAGTTTTATTACTAGGCAAAAATTTCAGAGCTGACGGCCTTGGCACTTTTATTACACTCTTGCCGTGAAGATATTGACAACTTATTATGTATCTGCACTAAAAAGTATAAGAAAGAGACGATATATTTGGCATGCTGAAGAGCTTAGATGATGAATATATTTTACAAAGCAGAAACCCATTTCCCACATTTATCCTGCCTCTAACAAAAAGACGGACAGCTTTAAAACTGAGAGTAGATCGCATAGAAACAGGACGGACATGGATATATCAACTTGGCTGTTGATGCTGATCAGAACAATATACTAAATGAGATCGGAGACGTCTCCTACTATGCGTTACACAAGGGTTCAAAGATAAAACTAGCCTGTTTTGATGCCCGACTTTCGCTCTTGACCTCACACTTTAAAGGCGTCAGCCTCAATTTGGATAGTAATTTATGCTTATGTTAGCAGGTAGCTTTGTATATGTGGAACTAAACGTTTATTAAATATTTAAGTTATAATAAAAAATATGGACCAGCAAACAGGTATTGCACATTTATCGCATCGTTCGTGGCTAAAGTTGTCTCGTGGCATTGTACTGTTCGATTGACTTTGTTATGTTGTCCAAAATCTCCTCAAGCAAGCAAGACGTCACACCGCAGACATCCCAGCTAAATAATCGGATAAATAACAATACCAGCAGAACTATAAACAAAGGCGAAGCCATTGCCACCACAATGCGTCCCAAAAAAACCATCAAATAGCAGGTAATTGCAATGCTCAGCGTAAAGGCTAAGATGCGGTCTAGGTCATCGGGCCTTTCGCCATCTTGTTGAATCCAAAATCTTAAGTATTCCGAAAGTGATCGATATTCCGAATGATTGCCATCTGTTAAGCTCATGCTTGGAATAAAATCAAATACATAAATAATAAAAAAATAGTTGAAAAATGTTGAATTAAAATAAAACAAATGAAAATTTAGTCAGGGCTGAAATGCTTAACAAGGCTAGCTTGAAATTCGAGCCAGTAACTGTTCAAAGCCTGTGGCACAGACGCCTTGACAAGTGAATGATCGGAGCACAACTGTATGCCGCAAGGCGACCAGGCTCAGACAGCCAGCAACCGGCGGCCGTCGACAGACAGCAGGCGACAGACAACAGTCATGATGGCCCGGACTCGTTGACAAACCGCAAAATGGGTCCCGACAACAGACGGGCCAAAATGGTACTCAAAAACTGAAAAGCAGCGTTTACCAATACAGCTAAGGGGGCTTGTACCGTGGCTGATGTTGGTGTCTGTGCATAAATTCCATCATATGATATCAATTAGTGATAGTGCAGTGCGACTCAAATGTCATTTGCAGGAATTCGCATATTTTAAACGTGACACACGACAAACCCACAATTCAAACATACAGACCGAAACCAGCGGACAAGGCATGATATCTCGAAAATGAAGGGCACTTTTTTATGGCCCATAGACCCAGAGTTTCCACGAATATCAAAGGTATGTTGAATATGTGACAACTTCGGTAATCTGGAAAATATGTCAGCTAACTTGAAAAATGTTTTAAAGAATGGAAATTAATTCGTTGTTATATTTTTTAAAATTGTAATATAAATTTCGTTGTAGTTTCTAGAAGTTATTTGAAGTTCAAATTAAAAATCTCTAAATTCTTCCATCAAAAGATAATTGATTATGAAAATAAACCGATTATAAAGCGCTGCATACATTAATTTAGCGAGTTTGTTACATTTTTCGTAATTATAAATTTTCCGTAATATATTTGCAGATATTTAACATTATTATTATTAATTTGGTTATTTTTAATAATGCTAATTCTATGCATCACATTGGGAGCGAAAACTGTTGTTGTTTCTGTTAATAAAACTGTTAATAATACATTAACAATGACAGCTTTGAAATGTTCGCGTTGTGTTTAAATAAACTGTACTTGGAAGTAAAATGCATATTGATGCCGTTAAAGAAAGAATGAAAGAGCATTCGATATTCTACGAACTCTGTTTGTTTAGTTGCTGCTCGTGATTTTTTTGCTTGAACTACATCCATAAAAACCAAACACAGTAAATGGCCAAACGACCCGTTCTGACATGGCCAGCCACATAAAATCAGCT